GAAAGCACCCGAAGAACGGTAATGTTAATGACTACGCGGTGTTTTTTGCGGTGGATCCACCAGCTCCTTTTACTCACCTTCGTTTTGAGCTGTATATTGAGATCAAAATTACTTACTCTTTACAGCTAGACATAAAAAAAATATATTTTTATTAATCAGCGCGATCGCTGCAATTCTAGTCACGGTGCCCTAAACGCATATATACCATGCATTGTTATTTGCATCAATTATGTTTTGCAGAAATATATTCCACACGGTGTAGCGGTACAGCGCGAGGGTGCTTTCTCCAGAATGATATGAAACTCACGTTCGCTTTGACGCCAATGTGATTACAGTGAAATTTTCGAAGCCTTCGCTGCTTTACAAACGTTATCCTCTCATTTGCCACACTCTGGAGGAAACAAAAATACTACATTATCATATACCGAGTTCAAACATTTTCGGCCTTGAACGTGAGAATACGGCATTCCCCCAACGCCGAGGACGAGGATGCGGAGAAGCTCCTGTTTACGCTCGCACTCGGATAATAGCAAGTACACGTTCCCGGGGAGGGTGGACGGTCTTGATGTAATGCAGTCAATTCCTGCGTTGACAACAGCAAATCGCAATAACCACACATTCTGCGCCTAATTCTTTGTAATTTCGAACGTCCGCCACCAAAACCAACGGAGCAAGCGAGCTTTGACGGCTGTCGGCGCAGAAAGCAGACGACGAACAGATCACGTGACGTATTTACTCGATTTGATCCGACTTTACCCCCCGATCGAGGAGGGTAGCGCGAGTAATTACTCCGGAGTAAACAACCCGCTTCTGGAACGCGAGTTCTGACGTCATCGAGTAAGCTCGAGTAAGTTTTGGAACGCCGCGGTACGAAATTTTTACTCCGGAGTCGGATCGAGTAAATTTTGGAACACAGCCCTAGTGTATTCTAGTACCACACAGCAAGAGGAAGTCTAGCTACGGTCACGTGATGTGGTCACGTTGGCATGGTAAGTGAGGAGAGTAAGGAGGAAAATGAGAAAGAGGCGAGGCGTCAAGGGAGCATGGCTTGTGGAGGCTACGCGGCCGACGTCATGCCCTCTCCTACCCTTCCATTCTCCATGCTCTAGCCACAGCCCGCCGGCAACCACAGCCGTCCGCTGGAGGGTGGAGAATAAAAATCAAGATGATTTAAATTAATCTATCATTTAAAATCACACCAGGTTTACTAATGTGATTTAAATCAAACCTTTGCCTAATAAATAATTATTCATAATGAAGAAAAAATAAAACAATTACAACAGGGACAACACACCACATCTTTCAACTAGCAACAGACGAGTAAAATAATTATTCTTAATTAAATATATATTTGACAATCTTTGAACCTTTCGATCTGCATTTGTTTTGAAATTTCAGCGCTTATTTCTTGGTCCATTTGTGTTCAAGAGGGCAGTGTCACATCAGGCACTCTTGTTGAAGAAAAAAATAAATAAATAAAACACGAAAAGGAATTTTAAAACGAATTAAACGATTAGAAAAGAGCACCTGGCGGATGTCGCTAACGCCTCGTTTGTAATGCCCGTCTCGCCGTGCCGGCGAGACAGGCATCGCCTAGAGACAGCACCCGCCGTGTCCCAAAATCGACCGCAAAAATCTGTTTTTTCACCTATCGCCTTCCGATTTTGTACAGGGGCCACAGGTGGTGCGTTTTTTCTAGAAAATTCGTAAAGAGCGAACTTACCCGAGGAAAAAGTAGACTAAGAAAAAGGCTTAACCCCTATGGAAACGCAGCGAAGCCACCGGTCTTCAAACCATAGGGAGCCCTGTGGTTTGAAGACCGGTGGCTTATCGCTGCGTTTCCATAGGAGCTACGTCTTTTTCTTTTTCCTCAGGTAAGTTCGCTCTTTACGAACTTTCTAGAAAAAACGCACCACCTGTGGCCACTGTACAAAATCGCAAAGAGCTGGCCGCTCTTTTGGGACACCCGGAAGGGGGTCTCACTCACTTCAGTCCGCCTTTCGTCGTCTGAAGCACCATCTGGAATCTACAGGGTGATACAAGGAGACGCCAGGCTCTTTAAATCGACCGGAAAATTCGGTTTCTTAACCTATCACGCTACGACTTTGTGCAGCCTGGCGTCTCCTTGTATCACCCTGTAGATTGTCGTTTCATAACTGAGTGTATTCCATAGTAGGGAGGCTGTGGTGAGGGTGCGCGCAACTCAAAACCTGGAGAGCGTTTGCAATTTAATGGCGGCGCCTGAGGGAGAGGATTCGAGAAAGGATATGCGCCAGTGTTGCCTGCACGAGAGCAGGCGCCCGCTCTGTTGCAACTCTGTTGCTCCATGCGCCTTTCCTCCTCTCGCCTCCCATTGCAAGCAACGAGCGCCTTGGCGCAGCCTCTCTCGCTTCCTTCTCGCTCCGAGAATTGCAAACGTCGAGCGGAGAAAGCAAAGTTGCCAGACAAGCAGCAACGTCCAAGATGGCGGAATTTACCATTTTTCGCGTTAAAACAAAACAAAAACAAAACTGGTGGCTATGGAAAAGTAATCATTTATACCTTGTGTAAATTATTCAAGCGCTTTAATGGGCTTTTATGACCCAAGTTAGGAAAGAAAACGACCCTTTGCCCCATAGACTCCAAGCAAAATTTAGCAATTAAATGGCGTCCATGTCCCATGATCGCCGATCTAGCAGTTGCACCCACCCTCACTTGAGCCTCCCTATTCCATAGTGTACGGTAGAACGCCACCTAGACGCTGTGCTTCGAAACGTACGTACCAGGGGGGTAAAGGTGGGTGAGGAGGAGTGGCAAATCCGAGCGCCAACATCCTGGGTCCCGAGCAGGGTGTAAGATAGACAGGTGGGGAAACGAGAGTCAAATGAGCGACCGGATTGTGTCCCCCTCGGTTTTCTCTTTTTCTGTGGCGCCATCTATGTGGAGCACCGCGAATTCTTACACCGGATGGGCGACCTTTGGCGACCGGCTAAACTGACGGAGATAATTTCTCGTGGATTTTCAATGAAATACTGTCGTGCTCTCGTTTTATTTTCCGCACTCTCCCATAAAGTTTCACGCAAATCCGATTCCGATTTTTTTCCTCTCTTCGCAGCGCCATCTATCGCAAATCGGGGGTACCCGCAAGCAGAAGAGTACACAATCCGGTCACGGCGCGGCGGTAGACTGCTATGGGCCGTTTCCCCACCTGTCTATCTTACACATAGAGATCATACATACTAACTCTAGAGGAAAAGGTCCGCCATTTTCCCATACATTCTGGCTGCCGCAAGCGGCGGATCATGCAGGCAGACCCTCGGGGTCCCAAACACGGTTACATCATCAGAGCAGTTTCGTGAACTTCAACAATTCACGAACTTACCGGTGGAAAGATATTCACGTTCCTTTCGAAGCTTTCTTTTTGAAAAGCGCGCAGTTGTACGGCCTCGCGTTAACGCTAAACTAAACCATATACCCGGCTTCGCCGGTGGGGCGCGGCTGGGCGCGGTTGAGGAATACGAAACTGCGCAACAACCAGATTTCCGAGATTTCGACAGAAGGGAAGTTAATGCAGCGTAATGAGTTTATTGCTTTTTATAAGCGTTAGAATAGCTCATAATTTAGTTTACAACGTTAAATTATCACTGTTTATATTGCTGAGAGTTTTCACTCTTCGCGTTACCATGGCAACGTTGCTTTCTTTCTCTCGTGTTCTGTCGCTCTCTTTTGCGTTCGTTCACTCGGGACCCAGGATGTCGGCGCACGGGATTTGCCACTCCTCCTCACCCACCTTTACCCCCCCTGATAGTACACCGTGGTCCCGAGTGAAAGATCGCGAAAAAGAGCGACAGAACACGAGAGAAAGAAACCAATGTTGCCAGCTGAAGGACGACAGTCGCAATGGTAATCGCGAAGACTGAAAACTCTCAGCAATATAAACAGTGATAATTTAACGTTGCAAACTAAATTCTGAGCTATCCTAAGGTTTATAAAAAGCAGCATAATCATTACGCTGCATTAACTTCCCTTCTGTCGAAATCTCGAAAATCTGGTAGTTGCGCGGTTTCGTATTTCCGAGCGCGGCCATCCGGATACAGATACTCCGCCGCTTGCGGCAGCCAGAATGCATGGGAAAATGGCGGACCTTTTCCTCTAGAGTTAGTATGTATGATCTCTATGGTACATACTCCATAGAATGCACTGCAGTTACCATAGCAGCCGTCCCGCGCGTCGAACGACGGGAGGCGAGTCGTGGTGAGTGAGTGAGGGAGGGGGGGGGGGGGGGGGGGTACTGCTTGTGCAAGCAGCGTCTATGAGCAGTTCCGTTGCCTAGGACCTGACGTCATCCAAGGAGGTGTAGCGTCATCCCGCCAACTCTCCAGCCACCACGAAAGAAGAGGGGAAGGAGGAACTCCTTTCTCACCGGGACTTTCTTGAGTGTCCCAGACGTCGCTATTGTACCTCAACAAGATCAACCTGTCACTCGGAATTCGTAGAAGAGCAGCTTTGGGGTTAGTTGCGGTGGCGCGATCGCTGGCGTGATTTCGCCGCTTCGGTGGCTGGACCGGTAGGACATATCCTGTCGACGTCAGCCTCACTGCAGCTTGCTCGTCCCGAGACAATCTAGGTCACGATTACGTCAGATGTTACGTGCTCTCCGCTGGCTGCTCTCCGAGCGCTTGGCAGTCAAAATACAAACGTCCGATTGTCATTTATGAATATTGTGGATCATATTCAGCCTATTCTGAACACGATGGGTATATTTCAAATTTAGCTGAGGTATCCTAAGGGCGCAAACGAGCTGATAAATATTTACTTACCCGCAGTTTCGTTCGTTGTTTCTTTTTTGTCAATGTTACATTGCTCCAATTTGTGGTAAATATTATAAATACAAGTAAGAATGACGCGTAACACCTAGAGTAACTTTGTGTGTGTACATGGGAGCACATCTGATAAATTTAAAAAATCGAAGAACCATCGGAAAAAAAAGGTATGAACAATATCTATATGAATTCCTGAGGTGCGCTAGGTGGACTTTTTTTTAATATACCATGTCATTGCTATTCCCGGCTATTGGGAAAAGAAATTGAAATTTAAGATGCACACACGACAAGTTACGATGCCTGCAGTGTTCTCGGTTTCACTGTTTTCACTGCATGATGCACGTTAGTGCCGTGGCGACGCTTTGCCTTATCCAGAAGCTCCAGCAGCGTCTTCGTGAAACAGTTCCCTGTACCTAATGTCCATCTGTTCTGCGAGCTTATCCACGAACTCGAAGGTGTTGAGGTAGTCCGGCCTTTCCACGTTTCCAAAGCCCTTGACGCAGAGAGCCAGGTCCTTGGTCATGTAGCCGGACTCCACGGTCTCCATGCACACCCTCTCCAGCGCTCTGGCGAAGGCGATCAGCTTGCTGTTGTCGTCAAGCTTGCCGCGGTGCGCGAGCCCCTTGGTCCACGAGTACACCGAGGACAGCGAGTTGGTGGAGGTCTCGAGGCCTGCCTTGTGCCTTCGGTAGTGCTTGGTCACTGTGCCGTGGGCCGCCTCTGTTACCAGCGTCTTTCCGTCTGGGCAGATCAGGACGCTGGTCATAAGACCGAGCGATCCAAAGCCTTGCGCGACGAAGTCGGCCTGGACGTCGCCGTCGTAGTTCTTGCACGCCCATACAAACCCGCCCTCCATTCTCATTGCTCTAGCGACCATATCGTCCATAAGACGGTGCTGGAAATAGATGTTCTTCTCTAAGAACCGGGGTTTGTACTTCTTGTCGTAGAGCCGCTCAAAGATGTCCTTAAACCGACCATCGTACTTCTTCATAATGGTCTCCTTAGTGCTGAGGTATAACGGATAGTTACGTTGCAGCGCAAACTGAAAGCAGCTGTATGCGAACTCGGTGATGGACTTGTCGGTGTTGAACATGGCGGCCGCGACACCCAAAGTGTCTTCGAACTCGTGAACCTTGATGTGGTAGGGCGACCCGGTGACCGGCGTGTACCTGATCTCCAGCACGCCCGGGCCCGGAACCACGAAGTCCTTTCCTTTGTACTGGTCTCCGTACGCGTGCCTGGCGATGATTATGGGCTTGCGCCACTGTTTCACCAGCGGGGGTATGTTCCTGCAGACGATGGGTTCGCGGAAGAGGGCGCCTCCCAGGGCGTTGCGGATGGCGGAGTTGGGGGACTTCCACATGCGCTTCAGGTGGTACATCTCCAACACGTCTTTCTCGGCGGTGATGGTGGCGCACTTGACACCCACGTTGTACAGCTTGAGCGCCTCGGTGGCCTCCAGGGTCACGAGGTCGTTGGTCTGGTTCCGGTTCTCGATGGAGAGGTCGAACGCTTTCAGGTCCATGTCGACGTACGGCAGAATGAGCTTCTCTCTGACTAAATCCCATACAACGCGTGCCATGTCGTCGCCGCGGAGATCCACGATGGGCCCACATTTCAGCTTCTCCATGGCCCTTTGAGGCAGTCTCCGATGCTTGTCACGATGTTCTAAACGTTACTGGTTTATTGGAACGCTTCTTTTTCTTCTAATAAGTGACGCGACACTGCTGACAAATAAATTTAAAAGAATATTATTAATAATCATTCATTTCCGCACATTGGAATAAAGAGTGTAAGATATAAATACGGCGCATATCAAAGCGAATGACGGACTTGTAATGATGACGTAACAAAAAAAGCGTCAACGCGATCACAAATAGTTGTAACTGCAAAATAAGCCGAACTTGAAAAGAAGACGACCAAGCGAAACAATATTGCAGCAAAAGAAAAAGTCGAGGAACAAAAAATATCTGCGATAAGAAAAAAAAGCCGGAGGAAACTTGGGTGGAAACTAACAGCAGTTCAACACTACTACTATTGCTACTACTAGTAATAATGATAAAAATATTACCTTTTACTTTTTGTGCATTAGATGTTGTAAGGAGACCGAGGAGAAAAGCTCCATGTCCACAGTCCACCATGCAGCTTGACGAATGCTCATGCAGTGACTTTTTAACCCAGTCCCTTTTTGGTGTAGGGGCCAACCGTACTTGCATACGCATGCATGCAAACAATATACTGAAGTCTTCTGTTTTTATTTTAACAGGGCAACCGATCAATGTTTGCTCGACGGAAATATGTCCACTCTAACATAAAAAAAGCGTGTCGTGGTTGTGACATCATGTCTATCTATTCTATGATAAACAGAAAGAGCGAGGGAAAGTGGGCAGTGAAACGCAAAACCGTGTTCCGGCGCTAATCACGCATATCAAGTTGTTACTATGTAGAGGGCGCCTCTGCAGAAGCCCCAGGGGATCGGTGGCGACGTGCGCGATCAAAAGCGTCGCGGTGGCCGGGCCTTCCACAATTGGCCGAATGCTGAATGACTGAATTGAGTTCACTTCAAATTACTTGCTTTCTCCTATTCTCGAGCTCTATTGGCGACGTGGGCGATCAAAGGCGTCGCTGCGATGGGGCATCCACGAGTGACTGACTGCTGACCACGGTGTACTACTGACTATGACCTCAGTAAAGAATTTCTCATCGACGGAAATAAGAGGAACGTGAGGACTTCAGTTTCAACGGTGTTGACAGTGTTGGTCTAAGAACGCTATGATTTCAAGCGTCCGCAATGCTAATTACAAACACCATCGAACTTGTTGTTCGCATGGCAATGACGTCACGAAAGGTAACCTAACGAGGGCGCCAACGAAACATCTCGCCGCTAGCGCGCACCAGCTCGGAGCACGTGGAACGAAATCTCGCGCTGCAGAGCCCAGGAATCCTGAGTTCTTTCCGTGCCCCCTGCCCGTTTCTATCTGGATGAGCATCGTACCGGCGTGCGGTCGTGTATCACTACTGCGTGATGCACGTTAAAGACCCCAGGCTAGCGGTTGTACAGCACTGGCTAAATTGCTTATCTAGAGCGAGTGACCCGTCGCAACTTTGAAGTGGCTGACCAACTACACGCTGTACAAGTACCCCCACAACCCCAATTATTTAGGAGCCCCGTGCACTCCTTTAGAACGCGCTCGGTACCTGCGTCTGTTCGCACCGCAATCAACGTGACAACTCCGAAAAACGAAAGTTGTTTTTCCCAGTAGATTTGGAAGAGTTTTCTTATCTTAATTGAATCCCCCTGCAAGTCGAGCGCATGATCAGCAGCAGGTGTGCGGCGTGCCTGCAGTGGCATCAGACCATTTGAGAGAACGGAGAAATTGGAATGCTCGTTTGGGCATCGCCTTCATTTGCCCCAAGAGCAACTTTGAATTGAGAGAATACTTCGTTTCACTCGGCAGTGCGAGCAAAGCAGAAACTACAAGAGCAAGGCCGTCGTAATCATGCACTTGCACTGCGTCAACACGCATTGAGTTGCAGTACAGTTGTTAACGCATACCAAGGAGGGGATCAAAACACGGGGTTCGTGGACGTAGCGTTAATTGCTTCGCTCGCACTCAGATGAAATGAAAATAGCATTCTCAGTGATGTGATTGGCCTAAGCCGTTTTGGAGCACCTTTTGGAGCAGCCAAAACGGTGTTTTGGAGCAGCAAAAGTGGCTTTTGGAGCAGCCAGAACAGTGTTTCGGAGCAGCAAAAGTGGTTTTTGAAGCAGATGTTCTTAGAAAAATAAAAAATATTTGTTTTAAGTGCTGGACGAAGAAAGGGCACTTCACTCGCCGCAATAAACAAATTATGGTCAAGTTCAACCACCTGGGTGTCTTTCAACATGTAACTGAAATGCCAATGACACATTTTGCAATGCTTCAGGTAAATTATACATATATATGTACCGTTATTGATAAATAAGAACCAAACCGCACATATTAAAATTTAATTGAAAATTACTAAGTTATTAGTAAATAAGCTGGTCTATTAGTAAATAAGCTAGTAGGTTGACTACCGTAGTTATATAATATAATAAATGGAAGCAGTCTCCGACTGATGAAACACGTAACTACTGTAGTGCAATGCGAAATTGTACACAAGACGAAGGTGCTTTTCTTTTTTTCTTTTCGAAACTTTTTAGTACAAGGCTGCTGCAAGCCTCGCTTTGCCTTTGACTACTAATGAATTCCCACTTTCAATGTCTCCAAAGAGACATTGAGACATCTCACAAGTGAACAGTGCTGTGGCCGTTGCCGAGCGATTCCGAAAAACCGCTTGCCACCGTTTAACTGGTTCCCGACGTGCCAGACTTTCGTCAAAAGTAAGCAAACGTAAAACAATGGGTTGCAAGTGTCCCGGCTGGTGCCTCTGTCGTGCAGTCATGTTCGCATGCACATGAGGGCAACTTCGGCAGGCTTGCATTTGCACGTGCTTCGTCGCGTGAGCGGAGATGGCTGTTCGATCGAAACAGACACCATGCCACTCCGCTCCGTCGCCAACTGGTTCCCAAAATTGAATGCAAAATGTAATTGTCCAGCATACGACAAAAAAAAAAAAAAAAGTACAGCGGCAAGTGCTTGCCAGGCCGGCAGGCGAGGTACAAGCTAAACACATAGAGAAAAAGAACCTGAGCGAGTCAGGTCAAAACAATACATCGCAAGTCAGGGTCGAAAATGTACTTGGAGCGCTTTGTACAAACACTGAAGCACTGAAGCGTCAACACACGCCCACGTCTATCGTTGAAATTGTTTTTATAAAGACGCGAGACGAGACCACGGTGTAGAAGAGACACATGAACGACGAGCGCGTGAAACGAGAGGTGGCGGGAAAAACTATGCAAGACCGGATGGACGATAGATACAGGGTGCTTATTGTTGGGCGGCCGCTTGCGCTACCTAGCTCATGCATGCTAAGTTACGGTACTCAGTTTAGTTTCGGTTTTGAAAGACGACCAAAATTGATCTTTTGGGCGCAGTTTACCCATATTTTGGCAAAATGTAGCAGGATGTAGCAGGGTTCGCCCCTTGGCGCAGTTTGGCGCAATTGGCGCAGCAATCACATCACTGCATTCTGAAACGAGTCAGGTATATACATTAGGGACTTGTAGCAAACCGTTACCGTGTTCCGCATACCGCTCTCCCGTATGCTTTTATCCGGGTGCTCAGCGGGCTGAGGAAGCGGTCTACTACAATTCCTCAATCTACGAAAACTCCCTATTGTAGCGGGACAGCGAAAACGATCTACGAAAACTCCCTAATAATAGGGAATTGTAGTAGACCGGTTTTCTCCTCCGCTCGGTATCCGGGAAGAAAACGCCGCACCTGCGCATGCGCGCCCCCAGCCTTGTCTGCATAGTTCAAGGTCTTGTGGCGGATTACGGGGCGCTATCCGGGTGCTTAGCGGGCTGCGGAAACTCTCCGCTACGAAGAAATCGCCACTGCGCCTGCGTGCCGATGGCCTTGGCTTTAGAGTTCCGGGTAGCGGAGGGGATTAGCGGACGGGGAAACACGGTTTAAAGCGGGAAACACATGTACGACGAAACCGTCCGATCCGACGTGCGGACTGCAGGAATTACCTTGAGGGGAGAGGGTTTTCGTAGCATCGGAGAGCGTTGAAAACCCTCGCCTCCGACCGTCGTATTGCGCGGTCGGACGTCGGATCGGACGGTTTCGTCGTACATGTGTTTCGCGCTTAAGCGCGAAACACACGGATCGGACGGTTTCGTCGTACATGTGTTTCGCGCTTAAGCGCGAAACACACGGATCGGACGGTTTCGTCGTACATGTGTTTCGCGCTTAAGCGCGAAACACATGTACGACGAAACCGTCCGATCCGACGTCCGACCGCGCAATACGACGGTCGGAGGCGAGGGTTTTCAACGCTCTCCGATGCTACGAAAACCCTCTCCCCCAAGGTCATTCCGGCAGTCCGTACGTCGGATCGGAAGGTTTCGTCGTACATGTGTCTCCCGCTTTACTGAAGTGACTTTTCTTGATTATTTTTCCCCTGCCTTTTGTAAGATGAGCTCCCGAAAGTCGCTGGTTTGCGAAAAGAAAGACTCCAGCGACTCAACTACATGCGACTCCGTCGTGCGAATGCTTGCTTGGATTTTCTGTACTGCCTCCTCCTTCTCGTGTCGTTTCCTTCTCGCAGCTCTGCGTACTTACTTTCCTCCGGAATAATAAACGGGGTTGTGTAGATAGTTATACAGCGTGTAGATGGTCAGCCATTTCAAAGTTGTGACGAGTCATTTGCTGTAGATAAGCAATTTAGCCAGTGCGGCACAACCGCTAGCCTGGGGTGACCGCACGCCGATACGACGCTCATCCAGATCGAAAGTTTCCTCCGGAGATAAAGCTATCTCGTGCGAATACACCATGAAAGCATGCTTCAAAGGCTCCGGTAGTGCTGTATGCGGAACACAGTAACGGTCTCCTGAAAGTCTCTAGTTTCCTACCGCGAGCTTGTAGCTCTATCTTGTACTTTTACGTCGTTTGACCACCCAAGGTTTGTTTGCTTGATTTGGCACGCGGTCGCCATTCGACGTAACAAAAAATATCTCCACCCGAACCAAACTGCATTGCACAGCTTACATGGACTATGAATGCGTATCATTTCTTCAGTAATATGGCACGATAGAATAACACGATACGGTAAGTACGCAGAAATATGGGGTTTCATCTACGGATATTAAGACAATAGACCGATCTCACCAGCCAGTTTGGCTACGTTACCGCGGCCGAATTGCATCGAGGGAGCTTTAAGCCTTGTTCAGACAGTTGCGTTTGACTGCGTTTGACTGCGTTGCGGCAGCGAGAAACCAGGACATCCCTGCTGCTTATATCGCGTGCCAAGATGATTCCTTGGATTGGATTCCACGCTTCATACGAAGCACAGATGTGCCGGTGACTAGCTTTCCGCACTCGACGCAACGCAGTCAAACGCACTCAAACGCGAGTGTCTGAACCGGCCTTTAGTCTTTTTACACGTGCGACAACGACGTTGGAGCTCTGCGCGTTCAGAGCATGAGACGGCACGAGCCGTCTCGTGCACTGCCGCCTGCCTACTGTGAACTAAAATCATAGCGGCCTCACGCATGCTCCAGACGCGGGGTAATATTCGTCTATTTCTGATTTTTGAATGTTGAGACCAAAAACTTTGTCGAGACGAAACATATTTCTGAAGCTCACGCGGTATGAAGAAAACTACAATGCAACATAATATTCTCGTTAAAGCGAGTGTGTTGTAATTATTAATACTCAAAATAGACAGTATAAAAACACGGAGGACGTTCACCGACACACTCTGAAAGAGTCTGGTTGCCTGTGAACGTGTTTCGTGTTTTTGTTCTTTTGTATTTTAATTAAACATGTTATTTTTAAAGTGAAAGAAGTGCACTTAGATTTCGAGACATTTAATATTACCCTTGAATTTCAATACAATATTTCTTCTTAAGCGGTGTTCTGCACCATGCCTCATAGACATCGAGGCAATCTAAAAAAAAATATATATATATATATATATATATATATATATATATATATATATATATATATATATATATATATATATATATATATATATATATAGAAAATTTTTATACCATACAGTAAAGTAATGGATAGGCACCGTTTGAGAGCGCCATATGGTAAACGCTAATGTCAAGTCTAAGAAGGCAAGGCTTCCCTCCGGAACACCCGAAGGGCCAGTATGGCCAGAGCAGTGGCTAACAGGGCGTCCGGGCACGGCCAGGCCGCCGCGTCCATGAAAATAATCCTGTCGTCAACGGCGGGGAAGAGCGGAGTCTTCTTCCTGATGTACCTTTTCATCACTATGGCATCGGTGACACCTGCACGGAGAGTTTTTAAGGCAGTGAAAAATCCATAATCGCCCTTACGGGGAAAGTTTGGTTCGACTACAGCGCCGCCTCCTGAGAAATTCTCGCAACTCCGAGACGCGCCACGGCTGCAGTTGTTGGACCCGATCTTGAGCTCGAACGTTCGAGAGCCCTGCTGAACTGCGAAGGCGTTTCTGTCCAATCGCTCTGAAACATGCACTACCCAAAACTTGCGTTTTTTTTTTGTTTTTTTTTTGCCACTGACCGCGTTGACATGCAACCGACTGGTCGAGACGTGTACCGTTCACTCTCCTAGGGCATACTGCACAAAGCCAAATCCAAGTGTTTAAAAAAAATGTGGAAAAAAAAGGGGGGGGGGGGGAGTTCAACCCCCTTTTCTCCGCCGTAAACTTTGTACAGATGCGGAATTTAAAGGGTACCTGCAAAGAAAAAAAAGTGCATTTTTAAACAGCCTACTTGGGACAAGCATGTCAGAAAACAATTTTTCCGCCCAAAAGAAATTTTTTAGATCAATATTTATTGCGCGAGCCTGATTTTTGTTTGCGGCTATTTCGTCCGTTTTAAATCGCGCGCCACAAAGTTGGTATTATACGTCACGTAGTGGCTGCTATACGTCACGGAGTGGCGTATAACAGCCACTTCGCGCGCGTCGAAAGAGCGGGAGTTTCAAATGTGGAGAAATTGTGACTCCGACTAAATTACGTCCTGTGGCGTAAATATTGCTATAGGCTTCTTGCACTGACGTCACATCGCACACTTTTGAACACCAAGTAAGAGGAGGAGAGGGAAGCTCCTTTTGTAAGAATTTTGAGTGACGGGTTAATCTTCTATAATCTTCTGGGGGGAGAATAGCGACGCCTGTACAAATCCGGGAGGCAGAAAGGAGGGTCCTGATAAGAGGGGAGCTCCTTCTTCCCCTCTTCTCTGGAGGGCAACGGAAATGACGTTATGTGCCTTGCACAGGACGTCATTTCCGTTGCCCTCCAAAGAAGAGGGGAAGAAGGAGCTCACCTCTTATCAGGATCCTCCTTTGTGCCTCCCGGATTTGTACAGGCGTCGCTATTCTCCCCCCAGACGATTATAGAAGATTAACCCGTCACTCAAAATTCTTACAGAAGCAGCTTCCCTCTCCTCCTTTTACTTGGTGTTCAAAAGTATGCGGTGTGACGTCAGTGCAAGGAGCCTATAGTCGGTTACAAGTCAAGACGGTAGGAGAAGCTCCTTCCACAAGTGTAATGCGCCCGTTTCAAATCTCTCCGCAGTCGAAAGAAGAGTTCACTGGAAACGCTCCTTGTTCCGCTTCAATGGATTCCCACTTGTCTCCGATCCCACTTTTTAAGAAAGCGACCTTTGTATTCATCGGAGAGGGAACCGAGCCCCTGAAAGCAGCCTTTGTATCCATCGGGGGGGAAGCTAATCCCCTAAAGTCGTATTTGTTTCCGTCGGTGGGGGAGAGCTCTAATCTCCCTCTCGTGGCTTCCACAATGCTAAGTCAAAGTCGAAAGATAAAGCAAATATGTACAGAAAGGCAAGACCCTCCTCGCGCGTTGTCCGCGACGTCACGGAAACGGTGGGACGCTATTGGATGCAAAGGTGGCGGAGGGATATCTGATTCCCTTTGAGGAGCATTTGCCGCTACCTTCTTAACCTGTAACTGACTATAGAAATAATTTGTTTTTTCGCGGAAGATTGGTTTTGTGACATGCTTGTCCCAATTGGGCTGTTGAAAAAAACTTTCTTTGCAGTTACCCTTTAAAGGAGTCATGAAACGCTTTTTCAACTTTTTTCTGTTTAGCTTTCCTCCTCAACTCATAAATCGCACATTGTACCAAGCAGTTCAAGAAGTCGGAAAGGGGGGAGTCCGCTCTTGCTCGGAATCTGGCTTGTGTAGCCGGACACAGCCATTGTCACCCTAGAAGATTAGCCCGTCGCTCAAAATTCCGACTATACTCAGTTTCAGCTTAGGTCCGAGCGCGGCCGATATTATGAGCCGAAGGGCCAATCAAACAGCGGAAGAGGCACAACGTCATGGCGTGCTCTCTGCGGTTGATAGGACCAACCTTTATTCGCCCTTCTCTGTGCGTGCTCCTCCACCGGCTAGTCTTACCAAGCGCAGAGAGCACGCCATGACGCTACGCTTTTTGCGCTGTTTGATTGGCCCTTCGGCTCATAACATCGGCCGCGCTCGGACATAAGGTGAAACGAAGTATAGTTGCTTTCCCCACCCCGTTCACCCCGAAGCTGACAGTGCCGTGGAAGCTACGTGCTCGTTGGGCCAGCCACACATTTTCCACGTGATCATGATACCGACCCGCAGAGAATGAGGTCAGGTGATGAAAGGGAGACGGCTGATTGGTCCGGCAAGCGCGTAGCTTCCACCGCAATGTCAGCTTAGGGGTAAAGGGATTAAGTGAGGTCCGGTGTCGTGTGACGTGCGCTTGGGCCCTGGTGACGCGCTGCGGGGGCCCGGTTATGGTGGCTAGTAGCCCGGTGACGCGCTGCGGGGTCCGCGGATGTATCACAGTGAAAAGGCGGAGAGTTTACGAAGGGAAGGAGGTACGAAATAGTCCGCTATGGTTTGCAAATTTTCGTAGCGAAAGTCAGGCTTCTGACTTTCTACCTTTGTTCTTTTGGCCCACTGAACGATGTGCTATTAGTAAAATCCCAATATAAATTGATTTACTCCAGCCCAAAATTCGTTTCATGGGTCCTTTAAGGAAAAGGGGAGGGGAGGGGGGGGGGGGGGTTCAGGACATCCGGACCCTCCCCCCTCTTCTGAATCTGTGTTTCTGAAGGCGAACGTTTTTTTTTTAACACTTCCGCAGCATTCATCTGTCCGCGTCAATCAGCTAAGGGGGAGGGGGGCAACCGTTCCCCCTCCCCCTTAGCTCCCCACGGTCAACTTTGTTTTAATAAAATCATTGATGTACACCAGCCAAACGTTTAGTTTTTGGTGACATAGCAAATATTGGGTCAACAAAATAAATCTGGCCAACGTTTCGACCGTGACGTCATATCTCAGGAGAGACACCCCCTCCACCAGCCGAATGCCTACCGGCCCTCCCAGGCCAGACCCATAGATTCGCCCGATCCCAGCTGCGTTTGATTGACCATGCCCCTCCTGCACCGGTGCAGAAAAGTGTAGGGGGGGGGGGGGGGGGTTGCAGTGCAGTAGTCCCAGTCGTATCTCAATACAGGAAGTACACTGCCCCACACTTTTCTGCACCGGTGCAGGAGGTACATGGTAAATCGAACGCAGCTCCTATACAGTTAAGGCCTGACCACATTAGCGGCAACGGCGCCGCCGGTCGGCGCCGCTGGGCGGGTGCGACATCCCAACGCGAGGACGCAACATTGGCCTCCATTTTGCGGGCGTTATAGTCACGTGACAGCACTGGCTCTCGCGTGCTGGTAAAGCCCCTCGACGTGTTTGCGTTCGTCTTGGAAGCGGCGTCAAATGCGCCAGTGCACGAGGACCGTGTCTCGCGCGGCCCTTGGAAGCAAAAGGCCGCGCAGCACTGATGAGCGGCCCTGGAAGCGAATGGCGGCGGAGCACCCGCTTGTGGCACCTGTCGTGCGCGTTTCCACAACAGTGGTTGGCGGTACTTGTAAAAAAACATCAAGGGGCCTCCGCCGGATTTCCCGCTCTTTCGTCGTCTGTTCTTCGTTAGATTCTTCCGTTTCGGCTCTCATTTTTCGCACATATAAGCATCGAAACTGCACTTGCTGCCTAGATGGTATAGGTGTACATGATGACTTGGCGATCAACTTGTGATCATTCTAGCCTGCTCGTTGATCTTGCGACGTCCCCGCGCTCTGAAGGGAAGGAGACGCAGTTTTTGGGTTCGGCCCAGTTGGTGCTACCGAAACACCGAGGGACAGGCCAGTGCTTTGCTGCCCCGGCTGCGCGCCAGAGATGAAGGCTACTTTCGAGAGTGTCACCAAATCAACGTGACATCCGTCGCAACGCAGGCGACAAGTGCCACGGAGAAACGCACACTGTTTTTTTCCGAATTCACTAATTTCCCAGCGGTTGCTCTTAGCGTCCTTATCTAGGTAGTCTGGCTCCGTATAAAAAGGGAAACAGTCGCACAGTTTTGAGGAACCGCTCCGTTGGGAAATGCAATGGGGGAAATAGGGATAACATGACAAAACGAAATAACGCTATACGCGCCTTTACGACGTGAAAGACGCGCAAAAAAAGCGGGTTGAGCGTTGCCATGGCATCGCAACGTCCTTTGGCTCCTTTTCTTTTGCGGCGAACCCTCACCGCGTACGGGCAGGTTGTCTTGACGGCGCCGAGCGGCGAGCCGCTGGGGGGCGAAATCTGGTTTTGGCTGTCAGCCCGCGGCCGGCCCAGCGGGGCCTGCTCTGAGCTGGTGGACGCGGTTCCTCAAATCGACCGTCTGGTACAGATAAATCATGAGACACCCCGTGGCAGACCCGCAAACGGCGTCGCGTTTTGACATGAAAAGCCGCTCGCCTGTCTTCTTTTTGTGTCCCCTGGGCACGTCCCTGAAGTCGTAGCCGCTGCCCCCGTTAACCATGAATTCGGGCATGGCGATGGTGTACCACTGGAAGCCGCACCACGCGCTCGTACTTGGGCGCCTGGCACGACGCGCACAGGATCAGCAGGCCCCGGACGCGCCTGCCAGGGGGCGCCTGGCGGTTGTACACCACGCGGATGCCTGCGAGTTTTCGAGCCCCTGTCATGCCAAGACGTTTGCCTTTGCCCTTGCTGAGACAATGCACTCAAAGCGAATAGGATGTGGAGTGCGGTCACGGCATTGTTCCGACAACGACAACAATATTAATAAGTTGAGTCGTCTTTCTTTTGTTGTGTTTAGGAACAGTACTATGCCTAAAAACGGGTACACTGTCATAGAAATAAAAAAAAAAAATAAAAAAAAACGCGCACAGTGCGCGAAAAATATGAACACAGGCTCAACTGCTCGTCGAAAAGTACTCATGCTGGTGGTTAATCTAGCTGATTATTCGAGTTCGACTGGACGGAGAGGAGGCATGAAAACACACAGTGCTGAAAAGCAATGATGACTCAACAGCTGCGTTGTCAATTTACATAAACGCTCGCTGCGGCGGCAGCTGCCCTGCAATGCTTGCACTGTCCGAGTGGACACTTGTCAACGTGTCACGCAGGCTGAGGGGGAATGAATACAATTAAAATTCTAACTCAGTTTTCAAAAACAATAAATTAAGCGGAAACAAGCCACTCACGGCGATCATACAAAAGGCTACCAACTAAACGCTAACAAGCGTTCACCACAAAGCACACAGACGAACCTTCAGGGAGCGTTGCCACGAAGGAAGAGACATTACTCAAAACCGAAACACCGCGAAACACCGCGAAACAACGCGCCACTCGCGGCACAAATGAAAAAAAAAAAAAAAAAGTTGTAATTGCTCAATTTAAAGTCCAGGAGAACGTTCGCAGGCTCACCGATGCTGGGGCTATGACAGATCGGAAGATCATCGTCGTCATCCATGCTCGGCGGGCCGACGCGACACCGCATTCCCGAAACAGGACCAACACACCGCCCGCAGGCAAAAACAGCACACGTCCGAAGCAAGCACCACACCCGAAAGCGAAGGTACGCTCGAAGGGAAAGCACACCCGAAGGCAAACACACTCCCGCAGGCAAAGCACGCCAAGACGCAAAACTAGGGACTCAGCCCTCAAAACGAAAAAAGAAACAAGACTAAAGAGGCAGAGTCCCGGTCAGATGGCCGATCACACTAACTATCCCGCCAAAAGCCAGCTCTTTTTGTGGCCCAAACTTGCAGGCAGGCGAGGCCGAAATACATTGTACCCTGATGACGAGTGGAGACATCTCGAAATAGCCCCCCCCCCCCCCCCCCCCCTTCTTCCTCGAACAAAATAAAACAACTTGAGGGTCACTCGAACAGCGGGTGAACCGCAACAAGCACGACCAGGATTAAAATAATGCTCAAAATCCCCAAACTATAATTGGCGCACCCCCGTAAGTGTTTAAGTGTTGACGTATGAAGACATCTACGAGGACGATCCGGAAAACCCCAAATCCGCGAAGAGATCAGGCGACCAATGAAATGCTAACTCGCAAGAGAAATCACAAGAATATCCGAACAGAACTGTAGTACCGTGGAGGTCACGAAAGAAATAAGCAGCTTTATTTCGTCTATCCCTCCTCACGTCTTGTACCACACGAAAAATGAATACAAGATCTACAGGAATTCTCGACACAACAAGATATCGAACGTTGTACAGGGAAGGAATATTTTTTATTAACTCACCGGATACTTGGAGGAATTTTTCAGCAGTATGTTCCTCAAAGTGAACAGAATGCTCCATCATGGCGTAGAGCTTCTCTCCTCGCATCGTCACCAGGAGGTACTCGTCTTCGTAAGGGTACATCTCGTACATGTCCGCCAATGTCAATTCGCCTGCGGTTCAAGGAGCACATGCTCAGCGTCACGTGCCTGTGGAGGGCGGTCGCAGTCTGGCGTCTGCTATCGGGATCCGACGCGTGCCCTCTTTACTCCGAAGATTCGTTTGAAATGCCCGGACGTATGTCGATGGCGTTACAGTCGGTCAATATCGCGCGCCGCCCAGAGAGCCGAGTACACGTACCCAGGCTGACCCTCTCGTCGAAGCTGGTCCTCGAGACGGCCGCGTTCACGACGGCCGCGTTGATCTTGCTCCAGGCCCCCGGCACCTCCATGTCGGAGAAGTAGTCGAAGATGGCGTCGGCCATCATGGTGCCTCCGTTGCACTGTCCCACGCTGCACGCCTCGTCATTCTCGATGAACACCTTGGACGAACCGACCACCTCGGCGGCCAGCGGGTCTGCCCGAGAGTGCCACCCTTCCACCGCGGCCTGCATCTCGGGGTCTGCAGCACACCGCCCGCCGTTCACGTCTTCATGGCGTCGTTGTCGGTCTTTCTCGTTCACACATTGATTACGATAGGCATATGTGTACTTACGTCGCTGGGGACGGCCGCAGCGGACGCTTACGAGCCACCCAGTCAATCCAGCTTTGTGAACGGGCTTTCCGCCCGCGACGGCGCTTCCTCTCCACTGGAAACTCACACCCGGCCTTGGATTGACTCCGATGGCTCATCGCATCCACGGCGACCGGACGTAAGGCTAATGACGACGATGGTGGATGGAACTAGAGCACTATATAGCTCCTACGGAGCAGAGTAGCGCAATCCTTTGAACTCCGTGTTTTGCCGACAACATGGCCGACAGAGCGGCTCGGCGCGAGTCACGTGGTACTCAGGGTTCCAGGAGGCGGCCCGCCCTATGGGAGAATACATGGAGATCGACACAACACGGCTGATTAAAAAATGAACGGCGAGTTCACACTTTTCAAAACTAGTCTGTCGTGAAGTTAGTAAAGCACTAAACACTTTATCAAAGTTTTAACAATATCGGATACGTGTGCAAATTTTGAGAAGGCAATTTCCAAGGCAATGGCGTTTGAAGCAGACGATTTTTGCTCGCAGCGGAGATGGGCTTTTCGGGTTGGCCGGAGCGGGTCACGTGAATGGTGTGACGTCGCCGTGTCGTCTGCTGCATGATGCCGCTCAGGCAATTTTTAAAAAAAAGTCAGGTCTTTGCGGGGCACAAAACTTAGCGCAAATTATTCTAAAGTGTTCCATTATTATGTCAAAAATGATTGCGATGCCGTACGTTCCCACAACACTGAAGAAACAACGATTTTCTCACGTTCTCCATGCATTTCTGACCGCAGTTGGAACCTCCTGGCGTTCGCCGCTAGTCGCCGAGAGGCGGCGTTCTAGATTGCGCTACTCTGCTCCGAAGGAGCTATATAGTGCTCTAGATGGAACCTGGCTCCGAACAACGGACCCAGGTTCCATCCACAGAGAGTGCTTTTATTTTTTTTTCTCGAACATGTTTTTGTTGAGTATTTGACGATATTTTTATATTTCTTTTATACAATTAACTCTGAAAAAAAAAATCTTGTCGACGAAATTTTGCCGAACTAAATGGTATGGGACTCCCTTTCCAGCGGCTTGGGTTAGCTGGGGATATTTACCCAGGGAGTAATTATTTCACTTACTCCCTGGGAACGCATGCGGGGGATATTTACCCAGGGAAAGTTATTTCAATAATTTGCTTTCTCCCAATCTCAGTTTTTAATACAACCCCCCCCCCCCCCTCCTCCTCCTCTTGCTGGGATGTTACTTTTTGTACCTTGAGGAAAATGGTGACCCTATAGTCTTGTGGAGTTTCGAAGGGTCATGTTAACGCATTCCCTAGGAATCCTCCCCCCAATGGATATTTTTAATCACACCTCGTATATACCCACCCGACTCTTTCTCACATACCTAAAGGAATGCTTTCATCCAGCAAGATGGGCGACCCGTGAACATTCACCACCTTCCTTGTGATGGAGTCGACGGTGACGTTTACCATTCCGATGAACTGGACAAATTTGTTGGAGGCAACTATGTAGCCTTGGCTGCCGTCTTTGCGCGCCACCTTCATCGGGTAGTCGAAGGCCACGGGCTTGTGGAACTCGGGCTCCGTGGTCGTCGGATAGGCGAACTGGTCCTCGTACTTGGTGACCAGCACCGAGACGTTGATCACCTCTTGGGCGATGCGGCGGTCCGCGGTCAGGTTGCCGCCGCCGAACGCGATCACCACGTCCACGCCCTGGGCCCGCATGGCGTCGGCCTGCTGGCGAACGCACTCCAAGTCGCTGCTGATCCCCAGGGTCGCTGGACGCGAAGCATGCAAACCCATCACTTCCACTCTGCCCCATTTCGCTGCAACGAAGCCCGCAGAGAACAATGCTCCGCTCGATGCTCAAATGCGCCTCGACACACTAAGAGCGGAACGTTGTGCGCTGCGGGGCTTGACCTCCGAGATTATTTGCGCGCATTGCTCTTCTCCGGCCCTTCCAGACGCTCGGCTGCGCAGCAAAAGGAGCTAACTAGCACAGATTGGAAGCAGTACCCACAAATGACTGCGTCCGAGGGCTGATACTAAAAAGTCTGCAATAAAAATACTAAATGTTAACGCGAGAAGCCTGTTGAACAAGAAAATAGAGTGCAGGCGAGCTGGCGTAAGTTGAACATGATTGTAAACCTGAGACTGGGGCAGAAAAGGGAACACAACAGTTGCAACAACACAACTGTTGTGTTCTCTTTTCTGCTCCAGTCTCAGGTTTACAATCATGTCCTGTTGAACAAATTGGAAAAGCTTGAGGCCATAACCACGATTCACGATTCAGATGTTACGATAGTGACGGAAACCAGGCTTTCGTCGCATATTCAAGATAACGAGCTCTATATACCAAACTACTTAGTAATAAGAAAAGATCGACAGTCACGCGGCGGAGGGGTAGCTATCTTGTACAAAACGTGTTTTAAGTACATGCAATCAAACGTTCAGCCAAATGATAGAATAATACTGGCGGGAGATTTCAACCTGCCCGAAATTACTTAGCCCGAACCTCAAGACCCCTTAGCATATGCCTTGACGGAACAAATCCTATGTGCGATATTTGCTTTAGTTATGAGTTGACCCAGATTGTGTTAGACTTTGCACGTACACAGGCTTTCTCGCAGAGTGCCCTGGACCTGATATTCGTGAGCGGCTACTTTCTAAAAGAACTAGAAGTGAACATCGTTGACGGAATATCTGACCATGACATTGTGGTAGCCTCGCTTAGGCTAGATATGGTGCCAAAAAATACCAGCAAGGTTATTCAAGTTTTACACTTAAATCGTGCTAATGATGTAGCCATCCTGGATTGTTTCGATTTTCACTTTGACCTTTTCTATGAACTTTCCCTACGATCAGATAGTTCCACAAATGACCTTTGGAATTCCTTCAAGACAATAATTTCCCATTGTATGAATACCCATATTCCAACTAAAATCAAAAGAACCGCTAAGCGAAATCCTTGGATAACGCGTGAAATTATTCATACCAAGCGAAAAATTAACAGACTCCAAAAACAAACAAAGATTAGGGAAAGTGCATCGAAGAAAGAACAAATCACGAGCTTAACTAAAGAACTCGGTAGCAAAGTAAAGTGTGCTAAAAAAAAGTTTTACAACGAAACTATTTATTCCTTCATCAGAACAGCACCATATAAATTTTGGAGGTACATAAATCCGTGCGCAAAAGTAATAAACGATACAGGGATCGTCAATAGCCCGGACAACGCTAACAACTTCAATGATTATTTCCTTTCAGTTGTTACACGCGATGACGGCGTTATGCCACCCTACATGAACAGGCAATCACAAGATACCGTGGACAACATGACAATGTCTGAGGCCGGCATACTCTGTCTTCTTCTTAATCTTGACCCTAAAAAAAAGTGCCGGGCCAGATAATATTACGAAGGCATTTCTGATAAGGTAGGAAGAATGGATCTCAAAATACTTATCACAAATATGTAGGAGAGCATTGCAAGAATCAAAAATCCCACCCGACTGGAAGCAAGCTAAAGTTATTCCAATTCATAAATCGGGCAGCAGAGAGAGCATTTCAAACTCTAGGCCGATTTCACTTACATCAACATGGTCCAAGTTATTGGAACATGTTATCCTAAAGTATATATCACTGCTTTCGTCGAAGAAAGCAACGTTTCAGGTGTATGCCAGCACGGTTTTCGATCCGGATTGTCAACCGTCACTCAGTTAATTGAAAGCGTGCACGACCTTCCTCGGTTATAAATAGAAGAAGCCAAGTGGACATCGTCTTCCCCGACCTGTCAAAAGCGTTTGACAGGGTCTCCCACAATAAACTACTTTTCAAGTTAATGAAAATCCTACGCGACGGGCAAGTTGTAAATTGGATTAAGGACTACCTCTCTGGACGATCTCAATTCGTGAAAATTAACAGAAATAGCTCAGCTAATAGGGCCGTGTGTTCAGGAGTACCTCAGGGTTCGGTACTTTCCCCTCTTCTCTTCCTGCACTATATTAATGATATAACTGATAACATCGACATCAACATTAGACTCTTTGTGTATAATATATTCTGAAATAACAAATTCTTCGGACCACTTAAAATTACAAAGCGCGTTAGACAAGATCTCAGACTGGTGTAAAAGAATGGTAGATGCTTATTAACACAGACAAAACAGTAGCCATGTCCATAAGTAGGAAGAAAAACATATTTATTATTTAATCGTTCTTATAAGATCAACGGAAACACCATACGATGTCCATGAGCTCAAGTACCTGGGTGTCCTGTTCACAAGTGATATTGACTGGGGCATGCACATAGATGCAGTGACCAAAAAAGCGCTAACGAAATTGTGGTGCATAAGAAGGCGACTAAAATACGCTTCCCGCGATACCAAACTGTTGGCCTACACGACACTTGTTCGGCCTGTGCTTGAATATTCCAGCCCTGTTTGGTTCCCCTTCACAAAAACTAACATACGAAAATTGGACAGAGTGCAAAGGCTCGCTGTAAGGTTTATTACTAAGAAGTTTGGCCCGCGTGATTCACCATCTGAGCTGTGTAGAGCGCTCGGCGGGCAGCCATTAGAAAAAAGAGCTAAGCTCACGAGATTAAAGCTAATTTACCAAATAGCCAATAACTTGACTAAAAAAAAAAAAAATCTAAGTACCTTATTCCCCACGATGGAAGAGAAGCCCGTTCAAACCATGGGAAATTATTCAGGGAGTTCCAACCTAAAAAATAATTGCTTTAAATTTTCCTTTCTTTCCGCTAGCAGTCCAGGAATGGCACAGTTTGCCCCGACACGTTGTCCGCGCTAGCTCGCTGAAACAGTTCATGGATGATGTCGAAGCGCTCATGATGTGAAAATACCATGTCTCATCCACTCCGTTTGTTTCATATAAATTTTACCCTCTGTATAACTGTTTTTCTGCACTATGGTTATGCATCTGTGTTTTGTACCACCCTTGAAAAATCCTCCAATGAGGATTAGTACTAGTAGTATTGATAAATAAATAAATAAATAAAAATTCTCCAGAGATTCGCATAGTGGGGCAAGTTCGGGGTCACACCAACATTACAAAGGTAAAATGTGTGCACGGCGCACGCCAACAAAAAGCGGCACAAAAAGAAAAATGCTAAAGCTATAAAGCACGAGCGGTGTGGCATCTGTCTAGAGCGCTGGCGCACCCCGGCTAAGCTTGGCAAGCTTTTGTTTCATTTTCTAGCAAGCCGGCTCTGGTCACCTGCAGCAAGGTAGGTGCTCTGGTAAAACGTTATTTTTACTGTTGCTTTTTTTGTTGTTGTTTTGGTTGCCAATATTTTAGCCTGCAAGATTACGCAAATCAGTAAATTTGATTTCCGCAGGTATTAATTGAGTCAGCAGGAAACACGCATACAGCTTCTCGTGTCGTCATCACTTGCTCGTTATAAGTATCGGCAAGCTCTTTTGCTGTGGAAGAACGATCTCGAGTTGAACGAAAGTCTAGAGCCTGCCCTGTCCCGCAACCCCCGTACTACCTCTCTGCGTGTCAGCAGGCTTCAGCTACCGAGGCAAGCGAGCAGGCCCTGAAGAGAAAGACGGTCACCAATATTTTCAGTCTCTCCCAGTGCATAGAACGACCTGAGGAGAGCCCTGGTTGCTCCCGTTCACCACGTTAGACTCCTAGGGGACTAGTGGTGGTGGTACCGCATTTGTTCCCCGGAGGGATTAAATCGCGCTCTCTTTTTTTCTTAAAGTGTAAAGAGGGGTTGGTGTGTCTCGCGAGTTCAGGGACGGACCCCTTCCTGCAGCTCTTATACTGCCACAGACAAGAAATTTCGCGCACGAATAACTTTGCGCATGCTCGTTGCACATAAAAACATAAGCGGAACGAACGGAGGTAGAAAGTTCCCTTATGCACCACTGTGCGCTGATTTCTGCGTATCAGCGAGCTGGTTCGCGAGCAGACGCGGCAGCGCAGTTGTCCTTTGAACGTCCACATGACATCCATAGAACGCTACGAGTGAACCTGAGGACGTCCACATAACTACAGGGTGTCACAAAAGAAAATTTACACGGTCTTTTTTACCGCAAAAATAAACTAGGCATCGCCGAACGCTCATTCTCCGCCCAAAGGTAGAGCTAGAGGTCACAACCAGACGCCAAAGTTTCAGCCAGATCCGATAACTTAATCAAAAGTTATAAGTGATTTTCTGAAAATTTCAATGGGAAAATGGAGCCCATTTTTGCCCGTTTTCGGTTTCTACTGCCATAGAGCCCCATGTGTTTGAAAACTCCGTCGGCCGCCATTTTCCCATTGAAATTTTCAGAATATCACTGATAGCTTTTGATTAAGTTATCGGATCGGGCTGAAACTTTGCCATCTGGTTGTGACCTCTAGCTCTACCTTTGGGCGGAGAATGAGCGTTCGGCGATGCCTAGTTTATTTTTGCGGTAAAAAAGACCGTGCAAGTTTTCTTTTGTGACACCCTGTACATATGAGCACTGCTAGGGGAGGCACCACTGCCGTTTTCAGAGAACACGTCCTGAGCACTTCAGCGAACTGGAGTGCTTGAAACTTCAAGAAAAACTACAAGCGCCGAACACGCGCCTGGTTTTGAGACGCGCATTGCTAGCGTGAGTGCTCGTTCTGCTGATGAATGCTTCGAAGCAGCTACCTCGAGCTCTCGTGCTTGAGGCATTGGATGCAGTGTTAGCTTAAAGGAGCTGTGCAACGATATTCAGTTCGAATGTTTTTGACTTTACACGAGCTTACTGACAGACTCAAGGATACTCACACGCAACGCCATTGGCCAAGAAACTCCTTTGTTGCGGTGTAATTTCAAGGACAAAAGCGACCATTTTCATTCAATCTCCCTTTTGCAAAATTTGATGACGTAACTTTTGGATCGCAGTACACCCATATGAGGATATTTGAATGCTGTTCATTGATTGGACCCGAGCATTGCGTGGGCACTCGATTTGGGCTCGTGATAATTACTAGCTCGAGAAGCATTCGGGTAGTGGCCCGTGTCCAATCGCTGCAACGACGACAACAGCCGAGCCATAACAATATCTGGAACTCAGCGCGTGCCCTGTGCTTTGCCAATCCCAGCGCGTGGATACGATCTACATTGGCGGCATATAATCGGCTCCAGATCACGTGGCCGCTTGTTCTGTCTGCGTGTTGAGGGGGTGAACGCTGCTCGTTTTTCTTTAGTTTTTTTCTGGGACTTCTATTACGTGGGGTGAAAAACGAACGCGTGTTTCATAGGTCATTAATGTCAGGGATCCGTCCTAAGCGGTATCTGCGCAAAATACAAAAATTGTTGCATCGCCCTTTTAAGGGTGCACGGAGTATAGCAAGATAACGGGGACAGCAAGCCTTCCGTGACCATGCAGTCAAAGCTCGCACGGGCGCACCTTGAGCGACGATCAAGTGTCTGCATGCGCACTCCTCTAAAATGCCACAGAAAGTTGTCTCATGGCTTGCACGTGACATCGCACCCTACTGGTTGTCGTTCTCCTTACCGAACACATTCCATGGTGCGAATTGTAGGGTGCAGAAAGTATACGCTCTCCCCCCCCCCCCCCCCCCCTCCCTAAAGTCACTGGAGTCAAGCTCCCCGTATGGTTGCCATTTTGGTCCGTGAAATGCGCAATTTCTCCTTGAGCCCTCCATTCTTGATGAGCCCATCTAAATTTGCATGTGACGGGTAGCTTTAAGGCCCGTTCACACTCTTGCGACCGACTTCGACCGAGAGAGGCCAGACTGGTTTTTAAGCCTTTTTTGCGACCTCTTAGGACCGGATGCGCTGCAGCGCGGAGCTGGTCCTAAGAGATCGCAAGAGGCTTAAAAACCGGTCTGGTCTCTCTCGGTCGTACTCGGTTGCAAGAGAGTGAACGGGCCTTTATGGAGATCGTTTCTTGTGTATACCAAGATTTTGCTACCCACAGACTGGCGAAACAAGCGTAAATCTTCGTACCACCGCATGTCGGTGCTTGGAGGCACTGAAAAATAAGTTTACTGTTTTAAAATACCCAAAAAGAACAATATAACTGTAAGATATCCGTGGAGATGGGCATGATTGATAAGTTGACTGCAGACACAGTGCCGAAGACGCTTATATTGGCGAGGAACACTTCCAGTACGTTGATGCTCCATAGTGATCTTGGCGCGACTGGTTTAGAACGACCCTCTGGAAGCTTCGAAGATGTGAATGGACCGAGATGGCGATTTTCATGGCAACGTAGGCAGATTAGCCAATCACCTTGCGAGTTTCGGTCGTCTGTATGTTAGTGTGTGTTCGTGTCCGGCTAGCAGGCAGGGAAGGCAATGGCGCTACTTTCCCAGGATCCAGTGACTTTTACCCCCACCACAATGAGCGCTCTTGCGACATCAGCGGAATTTATGTATATGAGGTGTTCACTCAACACCGTAATGAAGCATAGAATACTTTTAACGCTACTCCCAATCTCAATATTTTTCTCGTCGTGCATTTCCCGCTACATTTAGCGGGGAAACTGATATCACTAGACCTATAGACCGACACGCTGTTTACAAACAAGCACGCTTTTGCCCACACCGGGTGTGGGCACTGCGCGTGCGCACAAACCGAATTTGCGTGCAGTGAAGTGTCTGCGCATGCGCAGTGCCGTATTTCTCAGCTAAATTTAGCGGGAAGATTGATGTCACGTGACCTGACATCACGGGAAATACAAACCAATTCATTTTCCCCGCTAAATTTAACGGAAAAATTGACGTCACGTGACCCATACACCTTGGGGAAATTGACGACACGTGACCTGTCCGTCACCTCAGTTTCCCCAATAAATTTAGCGGGAAAATGCACGGCTTGTGGCCAAAACATCAATTTAGTTTTTCCGCTAAATTTAGCCGTAAATTGACGTCACGTGACCTATACACTAAATCAGTTATCCGCTAAATCTAGCGGGAAAATTCACGTCTTGATACCTAGACACAAAATCAGTTCCCCGCTAAATTTAGCGGGGGAAGTCGACGTCACGTGACCTATTCGATTATTCAGTTTCTTCGCTAAATTTAGCGAAAAAATATATGTTACGTGACACGCAGATTGGCTCACCAATCCCCTCTCCCATTCCCTATAATACATTTCATGAATTAAACATGGGTTGAAGCGCTGCGCCAATTCCGCCATTCCGCGCCAATCCACTTTCACTGCGCCACCCCGCTCCCAAGCTCACATGTCGCGCGAAAATGAAATCAAAAACAAAAAAAGATTTTAATGCGAAAGCATTAACTTTCCCGTGGAGCGAACCGGTGTTATCAGCTTTTGAAGCCGCGCCAAACGGTACCTAAATTCCCCTGTCTTATGGAGCGAATGGACGGATAACCTCCCTTTGGTTTGCGCGCGGCATAGTTCCAAGGAACACCACCCCACACTCAATGGCGCTGCTGCTCCCCTCCAGATGCCTCGAGAGGATCAGAAGCGGCCGCGGCGCGGAGAACGACATCCATGCTTTCGCATTCACAACTCGTAAGAAGCTATATTTATTGGAGTACTCTTCATTATGGGTCACAGTGGTTTACCGTGTTCTGTTCGTTTAGGTAATCCTGAATCAATAGGGACATATAGCAAACCGTTACCGTGTTTCGTGTACCGCACTGCCGGAGCCTTTGAAGCACGTCCCGAGTGATACCCTGACCGCGGGGCGCGCGCTTAACTGGAATCTTCGTAAACGTAAAACGAGGTTTTTTATGTAATAATAATAATAATAATAATAATAATAATAATGGCGTTAAAAGCATGCTCGTGTACGGCAGCACATGGAGCAGCAGCGGCTCTGAGCGTCGCCTTTCGGCCCCACTCACGGCCGGGCTGCGAGGTGGCGTTCAGGTCGTCCCGCACGTATCCGATGAGGCCGACGCGAACGTTGCCTCTGGTGAGGACCAGGGACTTGAGCAGAGGGAAGGCCACCAGCGTCGACTCGCGCGAGAAGTCGCCGTTGCACAGGACCAGCGCGGCGCTCTGCCTCTCGGACAGCGTTTTCAGCACCCGTTCGACTCCCAGGGGTCCTCGGTAGAACTCGTGTTCGCCGAGCGTCTGAGATGTCGAAAATAAAGGAGCCATGCTGTTGGGTTTATCGTACACCAGTGGCGTCGGAACAGGAGGCCTCAGGGAGGGGGAACGGGACCATCTTTTTTTCCCTTTCTCCCAAACCTACCCACCAAGATTGTTTTTGTTTTGTAGTGAAGGCGGCTTAATTCACTTTACCGCAATCCCCGTTCCCCATGTCTCCACAGACTTCCCTATCCCGGGAGATGGCTCGGTACCAGTGTTGTAGACGTTACCGAAAAAAAAGTAACGAAATACATTACTCGTTGTACTTGCAAATAAAAGGGACGCATTACCGACCTATGTTACCTCAGATAAAAGGATCGCGTTATCGTTACGTTGCCGTTAAAAAGTACCGTACGCAACATTTGCGTTACTTTTTTTTTTTAAATTGTGAATTTACGTTTTACTTTTTGAGGTATGCATAACCGCCATATTTAAAGAAACAGTTTTCCTATCCAGAAACTGAGCAAGAGTACCATATCTATTTTACGGTTCCACCTAAATACTCACGAGAAAAAAAAAAAAAAAGAAAAAAAACCGCAAACGCAAAGAACGAAAAAAAAAAGAAGAAAACTTGGCGTTTAGAAATACGAAAAAATTATAAGCAGATTTTTTTTTTTTTTTTTTTGGGGGGGGGGGGGGGAGAATTAGTAACGAGTAACGTAGCAATTGGCTACAAGTTACTCGAAATAAGTTACCTAAGTACGTTACCCGTTACTGTTTTGAAAAAGTAACGAGTAGGTTACCACGTTAGCGGAAAAAGCAACCGGTAGCGCGGTTCCTTGTAACGCCATAGCGCCAACACTGCCCGGCACACAAGTTTGCGGTGTCCTCTTCCGTCCTTGCATAAGCCGTGCAAACGGGGTTCTTTTCTTCGAAGACCGTGCTCATCGAAGACCGGCTTATCCGAAACTTTATCGGACTCAGGGTGCAAAACTCGGGAAAGGGGAATTTTAGTGGAGACCAACACGCGACGCTCACGTGACCCCCGCTGCGGTGGCGCTGCTGTTGGCGCAATCCGGTTCTTGCAGTGAAAAAAACAGAGAGGGACCTCGTCCGGGAACTGCGCGACACCTCGCGGAGGTTTGTTGTGGAAACAGGGCGGCTCCGATAACGATCCCCCTTCACCGACGGCTTTGCGCATGCATCGTATCGTTGTCGGAGGTTTCGGGGCTATCGGAGCCATCTTCCTCAATTTTATTATACCACAGCCGCCATTGCTGAGCGTCTCGCCGAGATACCGAGCCACGGAAACGGGCGCTGACGAGCCTCCGCAAAGGCCAATGCTGGGGAGAAGGACACAATCTAAGATGGCAACAACCTGGCCCATATTACGGAATACGAGGAAACAAAAACTGATCCCGTCGATTATGGCGGCGCCCATGCGCAGCAGCTGCAAAGCGTCTGTACAAGGCAATATTCACTGAAAAGTATGTTCATACGATCTGCGGCGACCGCGCATGCGCAGAAACAGATTTTTTTTTAAAAAGAGCAGCGTCTGCAGAAGTCCAATTCAAGAGCCATCTCTATTGAGCGACGTCGGAATCATGATTTTGTGCACGGTATTCGGTATAAAAAATTAATAAAAACCCTCACCTTCAATGTTTATTTTTGTTTAAAATTTTTACGAAGGGCTGGTTTAATAAACTGAAGTCTTTGAAAAGGCGTTTCGTAAAATGGCCCTTGGAAAATAAACTTTTCCCGTACACATATTTACGTTTTATAGGGCACGGATTTTTTTAAAATATTTTTGTTTGTTACAAGTTTGGTGCGATTGCGCAAATATTTTTCCAGCCTCATCCTCTTCGAGAGAAGGCCGACAGCGTAAATAACCTACATTTTAAGAATTCAAAGTAACTCGACCCGCAGCTGGTGTTACGCAGGACGCTGGTACATTTTTCCCGCGTAAAGCAGGCGTAAAACAAAAGTACTCGGCCAATAGGGCAGAGATTTTCGACTGGCGCGCATCGGCGTATCCCCGTACTCTTGACGGCTCCCGCAGGGCCCAGCTTGCTCCCTCACCAGTGCGTCGAACTGGAGCATCTGCAGAGCGATGGTCGGGACGTCCCAGCCGAGCAGTCGGAACCAGACACTGCCGCGGAACATGTCCCCCGTGAACAGAGACACCGCGGCCGGCAGCAGCTTGGCTCGCTTCAGCTGCGCGCCAGGAGGGTTCCGCGAACAAGTTACGAAACTTTTTTTCCCCGCAAAACTACGCCTGGCCGAACGCGTATTATCCGTCCAAATGTAGCGCTAGCGGTCCTGATGCCAAAGTTTCCACCCTTGTGTTGCTAAAACGTGATAAGTGATTTTCGGAAAATTTCGAGGGGCAATGATGGCGTCTGATGGAGCCCTCAAATACACGGATCTGAATGGCGCCAGTTTCCGTGAATGGACGCCATTTTCCCATTGAAACTTTTAGAAAATTACCTATAAGTTTCAGTGTATAATATAACGGCTACTTATGAAACTTTGCCATATCTGGTTCGGGCCCCGCTACATTTGAGCGGAAAATGAGCCTTTCGGCGAAGCGTAGTTTATTTTCTGCAGTGAAAGAAACCTTGCACATTTTTCTTCTTCTTACTTTCGTGTGTGTGTGTGTGTGTGTGTGTGTGTGTGTGTTTGTGTGTGTGCGTGGGGAAGGGGGGGGGGGGGGGGGATGCCGTATACGCGGCATGTCGGTTGCTCCGCCCCTGGTACATCACGAGTTCGGTGCTCCGGGCGAACAATTACGCGACCATGCACATCACTGCTTACCGACGTCACAAAAGTAGCTTCACCGACGACACGAGCGAAGCTTCAGCGGGTTAGTGCGAACACGACGTCTGGGCTTTCACTGTTTTCTCGTCCAGTTCAATGAGGCCCCACGTAAGCGCTTTGCGAAACGATATTTTGATGAAATCAGTTACACACACACACACATACACGCACAAAAAAAAAAAAAAACCTTAGAGTTATGTGTCTGCGTTAGCAGTATCGCGCTGTACTTTCGCCACCTGAAGTAAAATTAAACGATCGTTTATTTCTTGTGTCTGCGAAAAATGATTGTCGAATAATCATTGCGGCAAAGTCATTACGGAAAAGAAAACCAACAAAACAAAAAGGCAATAAACGTACGCCGGGTGTTTTTCTGATGCAATGGGCGGAAAAAAAAAAATAAGACACTGCGAAAATATGGCGTAGTTTATTTTACTTTTATTCCTCCTTTTGCACGGGAATTATAGCTAACGTATAGACATCGGCCATGAAAACATTATGTAAGGCTCAGCGTGACAGCCAACACGTAAGAGGCTTGGGTTGACTTTTCCGGGTTAGGTGGCGTTCATTTACGATTTTATTCGTTTATTTAATATATCATCGAGGTAATACACTGATAATGGGAGTGAGCCTACAAAAACAATTACAAGTGCAAGCAGGGGTAAATGATACCAGTAATGTCACTTTTTCTGAATGCTTTTCCTGGAGCAGAGAAGTTGGTTGTGCAGGCTGCCTTCGTGTGTGCTAGCTTTCCCTGAAGGGAAAACGCCAGGCGTGATTTGACTACTGTACTTTCATCATGATTTGTCAACACCATCGAGTATTAATGATGTTGTTCGGATCGGGGTATGAGAAACAAAGAAATCAACAAAAAAAGCAAAACGAGCGGGGCTGCAAGATTTCGACACTCTTCACGCCTTTGGAGCTTGCAAAGTGAGAAGGAGCAATTGCTTCATGAAGGCCGTCCAGACTTATTAAGTGCACTGTGTGCAGTGTCCCCAGTGGCGGCCATACCTGAGTCCGTTTCTGCTGATCGCGTGCTGACGCGAGCTTCCACCGTGCTTGTGCAGCGTGCATTCAAAACCATCGAAACTGCTGGCCTTGGCAGCCAATAGACGTTTTCTGTTTCCTGTCGTTCTAAATCACGAGGTTATCTGGTACGGGGGACGAAAAACTAATAAAACATTTCAGCGTGGAGTGTGCGAGAAACTAGAGGTGAGGAAAAACAAGATTGGGTGACAGGCACGGATTTTTCGTAAACACCTTCCAGCGGCCAATTATGGCGTCCAAGGAATCCCGTAGAATAGAACAGTTTATTTCAGTTTTCGTCCACAATACACAATACATGTGTGCTTGTGTGTGAGAAAGGGCAGTCCATGTGTACAAATGCTCCCCCCCCCCCCCCCAAAAAAAAAAAAAAGACTAGTAGAGAAAAAAAGAAAACGAAAACAACAAGAATAACGCAAAAAACTAAATATGCAAGAACCCGTGGTATGTCATGCTGTAATCTCTTAATAACACTTTGCGGATTGAACAATGTGTCGTTATACATCCCGGCGTTACATTTGTATCGTGTAAAAAAAAAAGAAAAAAAAAACATTGTATGCAGCAGTGGCGAAAACCAAACGACAAGTAACGCTCAATACGGACAGTTTCTACCCGACCAAAAAGCATCATGAAAAAAAAAAAAATATATATATAAAGATACCGTCAGTAGTGGTGGTGATTCAGTCATGTACTAAGCAGATAACGAAGCGCAAAAGAAACAAGAAAATATTTGAGACTAAAAGTTCAACAGCAGAGTCATCACAACAAAAGCCGACGCAAGCAGCGGCCGTGAATCAGAAAATAAACGAAGAAGCGACAAAAATTACTTGACATAAGTGACAAGGCGAGATCATGGATAAAATAGAAGGGCACACTTCCCAATTCAAATTTACCTACTTTGACAATATCTCTTTTTTTACTGTATGCAGAAACTGGGTTTCGTGCAAATTGCCAGGAAGTTGAATAAAGAGATTTGGTACATAATAGTTTCTTGATCGTGTTCCATAATTCGTACATACTTTCCGAATATTATATTTCTCGGTCTTCCTATGCTGTTTTTGTTTAGTTGACTTTGTCTTGAAATCAGTGGCAAAGTAGTCTGACGCCAGGATTATATAGTTCGCAAAGAAGATTAAGTTCGGTGAGCTTTTCTTCGAACGGGATGCGCTCGAGCCGTGTTCCATAAGTGACGTTCTTCACCATTCTTTTTATCAAGTTATCGATTTGTTTGCTTTTAGAGCGCACCTCTAGGCGCCCGTTTCCGGCTTGAGTGGCGTCGCCGTCGGCGTCGGCGTAACCGTGAGGTCATGTGGCACCCCCCCCCCCCTCCCCCAGGCCACGTAACCCCTCTTTAAGGTCACGTGACCCCCCCCCCCCCCCCCCCCCCCCTGAGGTCACGTGACCTCAGGGAGTCGCCTATCCCTCAGTACCCTTGCATCCTCCTCCTCGAAAGCTGCGCTCTAATTCGGCGTTACAGGGAGCTGTAAAGGGCTTTAATTTTTGGCGTTCAAACAGGATTCGTAGATCGTTATTCCATACCTCATTTTTTATTCACCTGACATCTGGTAAACTGTTTTCCTTAATGTGATGTCCGCGTGACTATACGAAGGCTGTCTAGGTGAGATAAAGTCATCGTCAACTGCTTTATTAGGTAATCTGTGTGAGAATTTTAAAATAAATGTTCGTCAATGTAAATTCCCAAGTATTTAGTTGCTGTTGCGTATATAGTGGTGTACAGCAACAATTTCTGCATTCCGCTGAATGTAGAAAGATGGGTTCTGTGAGGTCAATACGCTTTTGATGAGTTCTGAAGCACATTAGATTAGTCTTATTTTCATTTACAAAAATGAAGTTTTTTTAAAGACCAGCTCATTATTTGTTTAATGTCATCTTGTAAACCGGACGCTGCAATACTATAATTTTCGTTTGCTAGAACAAAGCTGTATAGTCTGCATATTGATATATATTTGATATCAAGGGCAAAGTAAGAAAATGTCAGATCCATGTCAGATTCGGTCTATTTCAATTCGCGTTCGATCTGAGGCACCTGCCTAAAAATCGGGCCGGATCCAGACAACAGTTTTGGTGGTTCCGGTCGATCCAAAACCATTCCGGCGATTCCATGGTGTAACCTAATTCCGCCAACGCTTTTTTTTTGCTGCGCGCGCGCGCGTGTGTGTGTGCGTGTGTGCGTGTGTGTGTGTTTTAGTTCCAGCGGTACGGCGGAAACATGTAGGCACCCTAAGTTCCTTACATGGAGAGTCGCAGGACGGAAATTATTAAGTTTCCGGCATGAATCGCGGCAGTGGTGGCATAGCGAAACTGGTTGGTGAGATCGGTCAATTCCGTCGTATTATTGGCGTGCTTATGAGGCATCTAATATGACTGATAATGCAAGACGAAGCAGAACACTTACTTTCGTTCTTTCCTTCCCGTTTTACGTTGTAGAAGGCAAATTTAGCGAATTTCCAATCTACCGCGTGCGAAAAACATTGTCATTTCCCTTTTCTAGGGAGGCGGCAATAAAATTTGTCTCGAGAAATGTGTCGCGCTTTTGTTGACCCTAAATCCAGTGTCGACTTTTCGTTCCATCTTGCGGTGTGGAAGCGAGATGGCATTGCGCGCTCGGGCGTTTTCTATCGAATTATCTCTTAATTGTACTTCGTACTTTGATTTCTCTTCTGCAGAGCGGTTTAAAGTTCGGACTTGTATGCGGCACAGGCTTTGTGCGATACAAGATGTGGATAATTTAAGACATATCGCTTGTGTTCGTTTTTTCCGCTTAATTCAAACGACTTTTCAATCGACTACGTGCAAGCAAAATTGCCCTTGGCCAGGGTGTAAGATAGACAGGTGGGGAAACGAGAGCCAAATGAGCGACCGGATTGTGTCCCCCTCGGTTTTCTCTTTTTCTGTGGCGCCATCTATGTGGAGCACCGCGAACTCTCACTCCGGGTGGACGACCGGTGGCGACCAACTAAACTGACGGAGATGATTTCTCGTAGATTTTCAATAAAGGAATGTAGTGCTCTCGGTTTATTTTCCGCACTCTCCCATAAAGTTCCATGCAAATTCGATTCTGTAATTTTTTTCTTCTTGCCGCAGCGCCATCTGTCGCAAATCAGCGGTACCCGAAAGCAGACGAGTGCACAATCCGGTCACGGCGCTGCGGTAGGCTTCTATATGCCGTTTCCCTGGTTTCCCCACCTGTCTATCTTATAGCGAGTTCGTTTCACACGCACTGGCACCGTTCGAGTTCTCTCCCAGAATGCATCGCACTCACAGAGTGTTGCACAGAAAAC